GGCGATTTGCCGGGGGTTCCGGCTGATGCACTGGCGCTACCACACTTGAAGATCTTCGAGCAGTGGGCGCCGCTTGTAGTCAAGAAGCAAACACCCAGAAACAATAAACACTTCGAGTTTCAAAAACAACAGTGCACTTCGGGTTTCAAACACTAGATTATTATTGACAGTGAACCTAGGAAGGTGAACATCTTCGATGCCCAAAAGACACTAGATGTCGTGCTCAGTGAGTTCTTGTCCAGTGAGGCAGGGGCTGCTCTGAATGCGAGAAACAACCGCCGTTCATACGACAAACAAATGCTTTTGGCAGGCCAGCTCATGTGCCTTTTACAAGTTCATGGATGTGAACTTTCCGCCTGACCCAGAGGTGTGTGGCTCTCAAGCTTCCATATCATGTGTACTTACTACCGTCACCGTCTACTAATGATTTTTCTTTGAGGCAGTATGCCACTTTGGACAACCTCCAGCGCATTGGAGGTTCTGTGCTGCGACCCTGGCAGCTTCCTCACCGAGCAGACTATGGTTTGCGAGGAACCGCCGACAGCGAGACTTAACTGATTAGTTGATCTTTGTACGATTTTGTACGCTTTAAAGTGGCGATGTGGAATGCTTCCGACTCAAAAAAACAGTGTAAAACCAGGAGGTCCAACATGCCCTTTGTCAGCTCATCCTGGTCAATGGCTTTTTTGACATGCGCAGACCTTCCGGGCGTAGAGAAAATCTGCGTCACGCTCGCCCAGAGCTGTTGGCTCCAACTTCCAATGGCTGGCATCAGCAAAGAAGCCTGCAATATTGATGCGCCTGACCTCCTTTCACCGGGCTTAGCATTTATGGTGAAGGGATGGAACCGTTGCATATCATTCCTTGGTGTTTGTCTGGCAGCCTTCCAAGATGATTCCCTGCTCCAGGCCAGGACAGATGTCCTGAATGTGGTTTATTGTTGCTGAATATAATTTGCTTTGTCCCATAGTTTTACATGGCCAGGCCATTCCAAACAACGTCAAGCAGTACCTTGCCGGCACTTGTGGGCATCCGTGTTCCCCTGCAAAATCCTCAGTGTTCCACTGCAAAATCGTTGTGACTATTCGCGTGTTTGTTGGTTAGAGCCTCCTGGACTTGCAGGACCTTTGGGGCCATCTACGCAACGGTGACCACAGCGGACCTCACACAGATCATCAACACCAACCGAGGTTTGGGACAAGCGCATACATGTTTGAGCTGTCGCTTGTGATCTTGCGGGTGTTCATCACAAGGTGTGAGCCTCACGTCATCGATCCGGCGCAGACCAAACGCCTTCAACTTGGTACACCAGCTTGAAATGATGGTTCGTGGAGGACTCTCACCTGAGCACACAGTTCAGAGCTTGGAGGCCCTTGTGGTTGTTGCTAGGGACATTTGCAATGTGATTTCATCTCATGACAAAGCTATCCAGCAAGGTTCATGGACTTTATGTTATTGTCATTTTGCAAGGCCAACGAAGCCATCGCAAGCCACATTGCGGCATACTCATTGGGGAAACAAGAAAGCACTGCTGCGATCAATTTGCTTCAGAAAATACCGGGGGGAGATCAAGGAATCTTTAACGTTGCTAGTGAGGCAGGGATAGTTTGCAAGCTTGCCAAAAAACAACTGTCACATTACAACATGTACAAGGTGTAGTCTTGTATCGCGCTATCGGATTTGTGCAGGAAGTATGGTCAGCCTCGGTTCTTGAACCATGACGCCATCAGTGCAAACGTCTTCAATGTTGGATATTGCTCTGCGTCGGGCATTCTCTTGCCTTGGAAATCCGAGCTAACCAACTCAGTGGGGTTACTGCGTCTCCTTGTCACCCGGCTCGAAGCGGACTGGGTTGCCCTGCCGGCCAAGCAGAGGCGGCCATGGAACCAGAAGGAAGTGGAGCCTCCGCCTGTGAAAATCAGTTTGGATGAACGCGGATTTTGCGTGATTTGCTCTGAAGTGTCTGAAGTTACTCAGTGTTTCTACGCGTTAATCTTTTTGCCTTGGATTATCTCAGGAAATGATGCATCGTTGCTGTGGCGCCTTTTTGGCATGCTTGGATCAATTCACATCGTCAGTACCGACAACCTTTGCGGATGCCTGCCTCACTGAGATCCACAAAACGTTACTTACTATGTAAAATAGATGGAACAACTTGGCCTCATGTTGGTGATGAATCTCACATCGGACTGGGTTGCCCGGCCGGTCAACCTGGAGCCTCAGGTTTGAATTGCGGCACGGGGATGCCGATTTGCAGGCATTGCTGGAACATTCAGTTCCTCCTGCATCACTTTCAAAAGTGAGCATCTTTGCCAACCATATCCAGCGCTACCACAACCAGGCACCACCTAGGCACCCAAACCCCTAGACTGCGCGCTGCTTGAGTTCCCCGTCCCCGACAGGTCGAAGAGAGTGCCCACAGCAAAGCCGCCGAGCAGCCTGGCGCAACTCGAGCTGTCTTCGTGTCATGAACGGCCCGTAAGATACTCAGGCTTTCCCAGCAATTGCTCCAAACCACGTGGCAGCAGTGTCAGCTACAAATCGATGGTGACCTCTTGAAGCTCAAAGATTGGGCAGGTGCATTCAACTTGTACGCGCAGCAGCAGGCTTCCATCTTTAATCAACCAAATGTACACGGCAGTTCGCGCTATAAACAAGGTGCGACTTACTTGGAACATCTTCATCTTGGAATACGATTCGATGGGAAGTTTCAGGGATAAAAAAACAATCTTGATGAAACTGTGTGGGTGGAGTGTGTTTCATTGCCAATCTTGGCAGGCAGCCCTGGACTACAAGCACATCAACGACCGGTACATGAAGGGCAAGGAATGGCTTGCGGGATTCACCAAGGAGAAGCATACTATGACATCTCACTCCTCAATTGTGCTTTCCCATAGCTTGATTGTCAACATGCAACAGGATATGGGACCCGACGGGTTCCTTGTCAGTCTCAAATGTAAACACAAATCGTTGGATAACAAAGCACCCGCCCACAAGAGTCCTTTGGTAGCTTTGAGCCCATAGGCTGACTATCCTGATTGTGGACGCCACCTTGTGGCCTTCCCGCGCCCTGGCTGGTCATTGAGGAATATTGAGGACATAGGGTTAGGAAAAAACACAAACAATGATGGAAATTATCATTAGACCCTCAAAGAGAGCTTAGTTTTGTTTCAAAGTAAGTATGGGGCCCAGGCCAGCTTTCCATTGACGAGAGCATCAACATTGCCCAGACAGTCAGCTCCGGCAATGCGCGGACGATGGCCTTCTTCTGCCTTCCGCAGACGCACACCTCCACAAAGAGAGATGTTGTCTTGAAGAACCGGCGTTTGTTGGAGGACAAAGTGGGAGCGTATCTTGAATGCGTTCCCTTCCTTTCACATTCAGCAGGTTCTCTACACAAAGCCATGTAAATGTTCCTAGATGTT